CCCGACTAACACACATAGTAACAATACATAATTGCAGTCTAAAAGCCTGATAAACATGCAAAAGAGCGGGCGCGACTTGCGCTCGGCTTAAGTAGGTGGTGGCCCATTCACATAGGTGAGATGTGGGCCAAATGTTGCACCCAATATGCCGGTGTAGAAAAGGACGGCTAGGAGTGATAGGATGGAAAGCAGGACTCCGAGTTTGACAGCGGTTGATTCGGCCACAGCTCGATAGAGTCGGCTTCCTAGGCTCTGGGATTTCCTTGGGATACACGTTTGCGTGGGTGTCGACTGGGTTTTGACAACACGACGACGAGGGCTCTGTTCCGGTTCTTTGGGTGGATGAACGGGTCCAGGTGGAGTGGGAATACGGTAGATGTCATGAAATCTGTAAGAAAACAGTCAATTCTTACAAGCTGTGAGCACTTTCGGACAGCCGATTGGACTTTATACAGCATATGCAGATACCGTATACCCAATCGGCAAAAAAAGGCAGTTGAATGATTTCTTACTTACTGTGAGTAGCAAATTCTTATGTTTGGTATCTGGTATGTGGTGTGCAATTGCACTATGCGCACACTATTCGAAATGATGTGTTTTACTAGTTTGTTTTTTTTGTCGAAACAATCCTTCCACTTGGAGGAAGTTGAGCTTTGGAATACACGTTAATTACAAGCCCATAGTAATACAGATCTTAATATAAGAGTTTTTTTGACTTACTAAAAATTTAGAAAGCAAGACTACGATTCTTTCATTTTTAAGATTGTGGCAGACGATGAACTGCTCTCATTATTTTTAAAGTCTTTGCTTGTAGCATAACACTAATTTTAGAACTCTGCAAGAGAAAAAAGTTTTAAAAATGTCATTTTATCCAAAAATCATTAAGGTACCCACTTTTGTTTCAACTGTTCCATTGCATTTCCATAGAGAGTGATCTCTGATCTAAAATCCGGCAGTGAATCTGTAGAATCGGTGCCTTGTACGGATTGTAGTGAGCTTGTCAGATAGTTGCACATTGTCTCCAGGCTATAACATCAGTGATTTGAACCCAGATGAACAATAGTGTGGAAAGCTAACCCATACCTGTTCATTCTTTCTTGGCAAAGCTCCATTTCTTCCGAAATCGTCAACTGATCAAATTTATCCGCTTTTAATGAGCCTTCGATACGATTCATTTGAGCTCTAAAATAAATGATGAGATCAAAAATTGATATTAGGATACGGTAAGAGAACAGTACGCAACCTACCGTATGCCTTTCAATTGCTCGCTCCAATCGGTCCAAACTTGGTCAAGTTTCTTTAATGAACTGACAAGGTTATTGATTCTATTAACGGCATCATCATATCCGGTGGATATATTAGTAAATTCAGATGAAAGCTCGGATAG